CCTGACTGCTTTTCTTTTCCTTGTCCTGAACTGTCTTTTTAGAAAGTCTAAACTTCTCTTCAATAGCATTGGGAAAACTGGATATCCGTGTGCCAAATAATGGATCTGGACCCTTACCTTACCCCATATACAAAAAGAAACTTAAAAGAATGAAATTTAAAAACCATAAGGGGGGAGTGGCATGGTGGTTAAAGGTGCTGGACTCCTACATGGCTGACCCTGGTTCGAGTCCCGGACTGGAGGCTTGCTTTCTAACTCTCTCTCTCTCTCTCTCTCTCTCTCTCTCTCTCTGATCAAACTGGAAAATAATAATAATAAATACAGTTAAATAAAAAAAAAAAACAACATAAAGGGTGTCAACAGACATTTCTCTGAACAAGATATACCAATCGCCAATAGGCACAGGAAAAGATGCTCGATGTCACTTAACATTAAGGAAATGCAAATCAAAACCACGATGGCATATCAGTTCATCTCCATCAGGATGGCTATGACCAAAAACCAAAAACAAAAAAGAAAAAGGGGTGTTTGCAAAGATGTAGAGAAACTGGAGCCCTCACACATTGGTAGCAGGGGTATAAAATGATACAGACACTATGGAAAACAACATGGTGGTCCCTCAGAAACATCAAACACACAATTACGGTCTAGCAATCTGCTTCCAGACATTTACCGGAAACAAGTAAGAGCAGTGACTACCCAGCTGTCTCTGCAGTCCGTCCATGGCTGCATTATTCACAAGCCTAAAAGGGGAAGCAACCTGAGCGTCCATGGACGGATGAACAGATGAACAAAAGGAAAGAATGGATGGACTGATATTTACAATGAAATACAATGCAGCCTTGAAAAGGAAGGAAGTTTTGACGAATACTATAACATGGATGAACCTTGAAAACACAGGCCAAGTGACATCAGCCAGTCACGAAACGACAAATCCTGTACGCAAATATCTATTGGTCGTGGGGAAAGTCATAATGCATTTTTGCATAGAAAAACACAGAAAAATTCTCGTGACTCTCCCGGCGACCTAACAGAATAGCTCTATTAAATTCACAAAGACACAAAGTAGATTGGTAGTTGCTAGGAGGAGGGGAGAGGGGGAATTACTGTTTAATGGATAGTTTCAGTTTCCCACAATAGATGCTTACACGACAGTATAAGTGAACCTAATCCGAGTGAGTCATGCAATTCGAAACAGGGAAGATGGCAAAGTTTATGTGTAGTTTATCACAATTTTAAGTATGAATTTAATAGACTGTTTTGCACCACTAAATTAGATATCTCAATAAAGAAGCAAGCTCCTGAACTTACAAATCGATAGGCACATTTGCATTTTACTGAAGCATATTATTTCAACATGAACATATCCAGAATGCTATAATATTGTATATATCTTTTCCTCATTTTTAAAGAATTATTTATTTATTTAATTCCCTGTGTTGTTAGTATTATTTTTTAATTTGACCAGAGAGAGAGAAAGGGAAAGTAAAAAAAGCAAACCACTGAGTCCAGGACTCGAACCGCGGGCAGCCATGTGAGAGTCCAGCGCCCCAACCACCGAGTCATCTGCTGGCCCCTATCTTTTAAAGTAAAGGTACCATTTGTTCATAGGAATGAAAATATCTTCAAAATACCTACACAGAGCTTCCATTCTATAAAATTAATAAATCTGCAGGAATGATTAGAGAAGAACGTACACAAAACCATAACAATGTAATGACAATAACCGTGTATTGGAGCTTAGTAATTCTTCCTCTCACTTAGAAGACTCAAAGCATTTCACTAAGGGCACCAAAGAGAAAGCATGCTGTCTGTCTAACCATAACCTTCACAGCAAAACCTTTGTCACAGTGTTCACTGAGAAGTGCTGGACTGGCTGCTAAATGCAGTTTTCTAAATTCCAGGGGCCTCTGATGCCTACCCATCACTCCTAACCCTCAGCGTGATTAAGATACCTGAGGTACAATGCATTGGCGTATTTGAAAAGTGGATATTAGAGAAAAAAAAAAGTAAGGGACCAGCAGCTGGCATAATGGTTATGTCGCTGGACTCCCAAGTAGTCAACCGTGGTTTGAGTCCCAGACCAGGTGGTTTAAATACACGCCGGGCACGTGTGTGTGTGTGTGTGTGTGTGTGTGTGTGTCCGAGATCCTGAGAGAAGAATTAGAGGAGAAGGGATTGCGGTGTGGCCGTCCTCCCTGGGGAGTGATTTCTCACTTTCTATCTCTCTATCTCTCTCTGTCTTTCTGGCAAACACATGAGCCCTATAGCAAAAACCTCTCCAAAAAAAAAAAAAAGTGGATATTTAATAAAATTTAGTTTGGCATTTAGATGTCAAAAGCATATCTACCCATTTGTATCCAGTGAAAATATATTCATCCAAAAGTAGACATAAAGTTCAAAATACAGTTTTATTCCATTACATTCTCAACTGCACCTAAGAATACTCTACTTGAGAGCATAACCCTGTGTCAGAACAGTGTATTAAGGGCCAGAAGGGGGTACAGTGGTTAAGGCACTAGACTCCCACATGGCCAACTGTGGTTTGAGTCCCGGATTCAGTGGCTTAAATCTCACACTGGGCAAATGTACATGCATGCTCAAAATCTTGAGAAGAGAATGGAGAAGTGATTGCAGTGTGGCCATCTCCCCTCCCCCAGCAGGGGTGATTTCTCACTTTCTGTCTCTGTCTCTCCAGCAAGCGCATATACCCCATAGACAAAATCTCTCAAAAACAAACAAACAAAACATTACACTAAAAAAAAAAAAAAAAAAAAGCATACTGAAGGGCCAGCAGGTGGCATGGAGATTAACGAGGCAGGACTCCACATGGCCAAATGAGTGGTTCAAGTCCCAGATGCAGCAGCTTGAAAATCACACAGGGCACGTGTGCGTGCATGCCCAAAATCCTAAGAGAAGATTGGAGAAGAAGGGACTGTGGCGTGGCCATCCCCACTCGGGTGATTTCTCATTTTCCCTCTCTCACTCTCTATATCTCTGTCTCTCTTTGATGAGTACACACACCCTACAGCAAAAAATTTAAAAATTAAAGTAAAAAAAAAAAAGTACACTAAAAATATTGCCAGCTGGTAGTGTGGTGGTTGAGGCAGCTAGCTGCCACATGACTGACTATAGGTTCAAATCCTGGACCTGGTAGCTTAAAAAACATGCCAGGCACATGTGCATGTGTGCTCAAAATTCTGAAAGGAAAAGTGGGGGAGGGGGATTACAGTGTGACCATTCCCATGGGGAGGGGGTGCTTCCTACTTCTCTCTATCTCTCTCTCTGACAAGCACATGTATCTGCTAGTAAAAATTTAAAATACAGGGGCCAGTAGGAGGGCAAGGTGATTAAGGCACTGAACTCACACATGGCTGACCGTGGTTCGAGTTCCGGAACTGGCAACTTGAAAAATCACGCCGGACACAGGTGTGTGCATGCCCAAGATCCCAGAAGGAGAATAGGGATGACTGCATGGCCAACTTCCCTGGGGGGTGATTTTTCACTTTCCCTCTCACTGTCTATCTCCCCCTCTCTCTCTGGCAAGGGCATGCACCCTTTGGCAAAAAGCCTTTTAAAAATGTATGTATATATATATATATATATATATACATATATATAGAGAGAGAGAGAGAGAGAGAGAGAGCATTGTTTTACTAAAAGCAAAAATCAAGTAAATAACCTATACAACTTTAACTTTTAAAGATATGAAGATTAGGTAAGAGCATGTGAAATATTTTTCAATCGGGGCTAGACAGTGACACAATGGTCAAACACAACACTCTGCAAGGCTGACTCACATGGAAGGTTCTGGGTCTGCAGAGAGAGAGAGAGAGAGAGAGAGAGCATTGTTTTACTAAAAGCAAAAATCAAGTAAATAACCTATACAACTTTAACTTTTAAAGATATGAAGATTAGGTAAGAGCATGTGAAATATTTTTCAATCGGGGCTAGACAGTGACACAATGGTCAAACACAACACTCTGCAAGGCTGACTCACATGGAAGGTTCTGGGTCTGCATCTGGAGCTCTCCCTGAGAACCCTGGGTATGCGTGTTCCCACCATCCGGGGCTTGCTGAGGCTGGCGGATGGACTGTGGCGTCTACACCCTGTTGAGAGTGCTGTCTCTTATCTCTCTCCCTTTCTTTCTGTCTCTCTCACTCATGGGAAAAATATAAATGGATAAGCTCTAAGAATAGAAAGAATTCCAATATTTATGTATTTTTTTCACTGTCCTGGGACATGTGTACTCACCAGACACAGAGAGAGCAAGAAAAAGCACTTCCCTGATGGGGCACCGCCACAACCGCCCCATCAGGATTTGGGTCATGCACACCTACACACCCGGTGTGTTTCCCAAGCCACTGAGGCTGGGACTCAAACAGCAGTGGCCAGAAGAGATGTGGTTTCCTATGCGCAGGGCTTAACCACTGCACTATAGGGTGAGCTCAGAATTCCAGCCTTTAAGCAAATACATATTGTATGACTCTCTGCAAACCACAAAGCCTAATCACTTATTTTACCAACAGCACCCTTCATTTGAAACTCAGACTCGCCTCTTCTTAGAACTCATCTTCAGTACCGAGCCTAAGCCTTCAAACACACACAGATCACAAAGAGAAAAACTGATTTCCTGATGCTATTCTCATGCTTGTTTTTGATCAAAATTCGAGCACTTGAGACTCACGCCCGAGCTGTAAAAGAGTTTCGACTCTTCCCCAAATACACTCTTCTGGGGTTGAGAGGCCACCACAGAACACAGGATGCTTACGAGATGCCTCGAGATGCGGTTCCCAGAGAAAACATTTTAAATTACTTGAGTAAAGAAAAAAGAATAGCCTCTCAAAAAAAAAAAAAAAAAAAAAAAACTGTTTTGAACAAATAATGTGCGCTAGGCTGTACAAGCTCAAGTAGGCTTGTTTAAAAATTTTAAAAAGGCATAATAGCTCCTTGAACATGGCTGCACGCGTATCGATAGTAATGGAAGAGCAGACGTTACCTGTGATGGCTCCCCTCGACAGCCTACCGCGGAGCTGCGTTTGCTCACGTCCCTCGTCGGAAGTGATTTCTCCAACATCTGGCTCCGCTGGAAACCCCCAGAAGAAGATGTTCAAAAGCTACAGAAAGGAATCAAAGTGTCCCACAATGAAATGTAGAATCCAATCTAAGGTTCTCTGTCTCTTCTTTTCCCCTCCCCTCTCATTTCCTGCTGTGCGCCGTGCACTGAGTAGGTCCTCCTCAGGCTGCATTTGTCTTTTTAATAAAATCAGTAAGTAAGCAAGTAAATAAATAAATAAGCAAGTGGAAAGCAAACCTTTTTTTTTAGAAACTTCAATGCTAGCCAAAAATGAGAACTCCCCACTGGGTGGCAGAAACTAGAGGATTCTCCCATCTTCTACAAGATGGTACGTATTCATACGCTTCTTTTAGAAGAGGAAAAAATGTGAAACTAAACAGACCCACGTCTACGGATTACCAGCATCGTATTAATAGGGGCAATAACATATGAGATAGTGAAGAAAGGGCCTCGGGTAACTTTCATAACCAGCTTTCAAAAAATGTACGATACTCCCAAAATATTCCCTGCTGCCTCTGACCAATCTACATACTGACGGCTGGAAGTTTAGGATTTTGATATCCTGTGGGCAAAGCCTCCTCTGCTCTTAGACATGTACCCTCTGCCATCAGGCCTAACGAGCAAAATAACCCCCAACACAAATGCATGACTGAATCCCCACTGCACAGCCAGAAAGACAGAAGTTTTCAAAGTAGGCCGGAGTGGCCAGCAGGTGGCATGCTGGATAAGGCAGCCGGACTCCCACATGACTGACTGCGGTTCAGGTCCCAGACTCACAAGGGGCACGAGTGTGTACGTGCTCAAAATCCCAAGAGGAGAATGGAGGAGAAGGGATTGTGGCATGGCCATCCCCCCAGGGGGGGTTGATTTCTCACGTTCCCTCTCTGTCTCTCCTGCGAGCATGCGCACCTTATAACAAAAACCTTAAAAAAGTAAAAAGTAGGCTGGGGAATTAACTTACCAGAGAGAAAGGCACAGAAAAAAAGCTAGCAATGTCCAGGACAGAGATGGGCGAGGCAGGGGTGTGGGGTAGCATGACTGGGTCTACGTGGAGAAGGTCCTGAGCTCTCAGGCTGGGACCCCCGAGCACCCTGGGCACACGCCATGATCCAGCCTGGCAGAGGCCGGAAGTGGGTCATGATCCGATGAGGACACTGCCCTCTCTCTCTCTCTCTCAAAAGAAAGTAATGAAAGCGCTTTTTAAAAATAGACTAACCCCAAACACTTCCAAATACAGAAGGAAGAAGCTAATGTAAATAGTAAATAAAACCACAAGGCGACCAGTAGACAGTGTAGTGGTTATGTCACTGGGATCCCACGGAGTCGGCTGCAATTCGAGTCCCGGACCTGGTGGCTCAAAACTCACACCAGGCACACGTGCATGTGTGCCTAAGATCTGGAGATGAGACTGGAGGAGAAGGGATTGTGGCGTGGCCATCAATCCTCGGGGGGTGAGGGGGATTTTTTTGCTTTCTGTTTCTCTGTCTCTCGGGCAAGTGTACGTGCCCTATGGCAAAAATCTCTCTAAAAATAAATAAATAAGACCATAGGAAGCTACTCCTAACATCACAATTGGCAGAAGCTAGAGAAAATTTCTAAGACAGAACAGTTTTTAATAAAACTACAAATAAATTTAAAATATGGACGCCACTGAAATGTGCAGAGAGTGAGACGTGGTCAAATAAATTTGCCACAACCACAAAATTGACTGAATCCCAATTCTGTCGGTCATTAAGAAATTTCATGAGTTCATAAAGTGAAATAGGAAATGCCATTTATAATCCAAAGAAGAAAGAAAACACAGGGTACCATGTTGTAATTACACATGATCACAACTACTTGTACAAAAGCAAAAAGCAAAATGACGTTTCTGCGATAAGGCTGTAAATTAGGTCAGATATCTTCCCGTTCTTAGCTGAGTTCATGTTGAGTAGTTCAAGTCACCGTCTTGGATAATAGATGTTATCTTCTCAAAACCTCTTTACAGCAAGGATGTCCCAGGCTCTGATGTAATAATTGTTTTGTAGTACTCCAGTATACTATAATAAAAGATGGTTTATGGGACCAGCAGTTGGCATAATGCCTATGTCGCTGGACTGCCATGCAGTCGACTGCGGTTCGAGTCCCGGACCTGGTGGCTTAAACTCACACTGGGTGCATATGTGTGTGCGTGCCCAAGATCCCGAGAGAAGGGATTGCCGCGTGGCCATCCCCCCTGGGGGATGATTTCTTGCTTTCTGTCTCTCTGTCTCTCTCTGTCTTTCTGAGGAGTGCACGCGCCCTATAGCAAAATACTTCTCCAAAAAAAAAAAAAAAAAAAAAGGTTTCCTAGAAGCCAGGGGAGATGGGGGTGGTGCTTAACATATAGGTGGTGTCAAAAGCCTAGACTATAATAAATACCTTTTCTTGTAGCAAATGTTTCATGAAGGGAAACAAAATGGGGGAGGGGGAGGGTCAGTGAGCAGGATGTGACTAAATCTTTAGACCCAGGCAAGGAGCCGCAGAGCAGTGAGTAAGAAGAGTCTAGCAGGATGGGAGCCGGAGCCCACCGGCCAACCTCAGTGTGAGTCCCAGCCCCGACAGCTTGAAACTCTCCAGGCTCCACAGGCTGGAGCGACCGGAGAGAAGGGGTGCAGCGTGTTTCCTCCCTCTCCCCACACCCCTGTCTCTCCGCTGAGCGCACATGCCCTCTGGCAATTTAAAAAACAAAAAAAGAAAGAAAAAGAAGAGGGTAACATGACACGTGAATAAAGAGGTTGTTCATATTCATGTACCCCCAATTTCCTCAGGTCAGGCTTTCCTCTCATCACTCCCCACTGAAGCACCTGGGTTACTAGTCTCGCCTCTCAGCAGAGTTCCGGGCGCTTACTCGCCAGCGTTTCACGGGTAACAGAGATCGACTCTTCCATGGTCCCACGGGGGCGGTTCTAGCACCTTGCACTGGAGAGGGGCAGGCGCTTCTGCTGCCTGTTCAGCTCACTTCTGGCCCTTCCTCACCCCGTGACTTTGTGAATTACGAAAAAAATCCTTAATTCATGAGAAATCCTTCTCCCATCTCTGCGCCTGTGCCCGTATCTCCTCCGCTTACACTCTGCACGGCCGGCACCGCGCTCACGCACACTGGGGTTTTTTGTTTGTTGTGTTTGTTTATTTTGGAGAGGTTTTTGCTATAGGGCACATGTGCTCACCAGACAGAGAGAGAGAGACAGAAAGTGAGAAATCACCCCCAGGGGGGATGGCCACGCCACAGTCCCTTCTCCTCCATTCTCCTCTCGGGATTTTGGGCACGCACGCACACGCACCCGGCATGAGTTTAAGCCACCGGGTCTGGGACCCGAACCGCAGTCTGCTACATGGGAGTCCAGCGACATAGCCGTTACGCTAACTGCTGGTCCCTTGCGCACACTTTCACGGAGACAATCAGACAACGTGTGTGTTGCCAAGACCTCCACTTAGACCCCCCCTCTTCCGTTTCCCTCTCCAGATTGCAGCCAGGCTTCGCCACCTCAGAGGAAGCCAGGTCCTTGGACAGGGACGCACAGGCTGACATGGAAAGCAAGGTTAAACGGAAATCGAGAAAATGGAAAGGGTGCTCTCGACACTCCCTTGGTCTTGATGATGCTCTTGGTTGTCATCTCATTTAAAAAACAAAATGTGCCTCCTGCTCGCCGTGGGGGAGGCTGGCAGTTAACACGCAGTCACACTGGATCTCTCCCCAGGCAAGTCCTTGTCCTCGGACAAAACATTCTACCTCCAACATGAGAACGGCAGGCTCCCAGGCCCTCTGTGGAACAGCGATGTCCTCTGCCTAACTTCAGCAGAGGAGTGAGATCCAACGCTCACGTCCAGACGGCATACCTTCAGTGACTGGAGACCTCCACCGTGCCCTGGTGAGCATCTGAACAGGCAGGTGGCATGCGCAAAGCACAGCAAACCAGCAAATGAACACGGGGGAGAAGGAGAGAAGGGAGCCCGATAACTCAGGGCCACATCGTGGGGTTCTCCCTACAGCAGAGAAACAAAAGCAGGTCGCATGTACAGAGAGGTGAGGATGTATCCACAGTGTTTGTTACACTAATTGGCCTGGGACATAATGGAGCGCTTTCCTGGAGCGTAATTAATAAATCAACCAACAAAGAGAAGGCCCAAACAATGCGACAAGTTTTTGAATACATGAAACTGACTAGGAGCTAATTATGTGTTGAATCATTTCATTCTCCGAAAAGGCTGACATGGGACAAGCAATGCATTATGTTCGCACGTGCAGACTTAGGGAGTGGAACAAAATATTCTACGCAGGCCCCCAGTCTCCACTGATTCCACTAAGCACACGAATAAGAGCGTAGAGTCTTACAACAGACGGGCTCTTACTGATCACCTAAATCCATCCCTGAATGTTATAGATGGCAAAACCAAAGCACAGGGTCAGTCCTGTGGCACAGCAGCTAAGTCCAATGACTAAGGAGTCATACTCCACACTGAGGTTCAAATCCCCTGCCCCGCCCCGCCCCCAGTGGCCTGAAAAACTTGCTGGTCTGTATATGTGTGTGTCCCAAATCCTAATGAGATTAAGAAATGAAAAAAATGGAAAAAAAATGTTTAAAAGGACTGTGATGTGACCACAAAACCCATTAGGGGATTCTCTCTCTCTCTCTCTCTCTCTCTCTCTCTGATGAGCTCATGCACGCTCTAGCAATTCAAAACAAAACAAAACAAACCTTAAGTACGGAGAGGCTAAGTGTCCAAGTTCTCAACAATCTACCCATAAAGTTGATTTCAATTCCTCCTCATAAATAGCAAACCTTTCAAGCATTGGGGAAAAAGAGAATCAACTGAAGTTTTGGTCTTCAAATTCTATTCAATCAATTCCAGAGATTTTGCATTAATTATTGGGTTGTCATAAAAGTCATGATGTATTTTTTCTATGTAAAAATGCATCATGACATTTATGACAGTCCAATATATCAATTTTTCTTTTT